GGAATAGAAGGTCTATTTGAGTTGAGTGCTTTCCCGTTTTCGAAAGTCTGGTATTTTGCTGATGAGGGAATTCCTAAACCATGCTGCACTGTGATGTTTCTATGGCAGTTTTAGTACATGTTAATGATGCTTAGGTTTTTGCGAATTGTTTATGTCAAGCATATGTAATTAGGTAATACTGGGTTTATTCAATTAGAGCATATTGGGTATATATGGATAAGATATAAAGAGAAATTGTTGGATTATGCTGCTACGCATGGTACTGAGGTTTTTATTACCAACCCTCGTCTACCAAAACGCTGATATTCCTATTTGAAATGATCTTTTCGTGGGTAGGCCAATTATCACTTCTTGGTTGGACCTCTGTAGCCTCTTCTACCCTTTCTATTACACATGAATAATTGCTAAAATTTTTGCTCTGTCAACTCTTTCATTGCAGTTTTGTTCGATCGACAACAATGGATAAATGGAAGGATAGTGAGCTGAACAAAATGAAAGCTGGTGGCAACAGTAGCGGGTTGGAATTCCTGAAAAGTCAGCCAGATTATCGGCCAAGCTGGTCGCTTCACGAGAAATACAATTCACGAGCTGCTGCACTCCTAAAAGATAAGGCATGTTGATTTCTGAGACTATTGTTTGGCAATATGTAAATCTAATAGGTCAAAAAAAAAAGTTGTTGGAGGTATGAATAAAGCAAAAATTAAGGAAATTAGCAGGGCAAGGATGGTGAAAATCGCAAAAATCTACAAAATTTGTTATAAATCTTCGCCTCTTGACCCAAACTGACAGCATATGCAGATAATTCTACACGAATTTGGATTCCGGGACCTCTTTTCCACACAACCAAGCATTATGCTCCTGTTTTTTCTTGTCAGCAACGTTCGAAACCTATAATCCTAATTAGTCATATGACGCATTTCCGTATAGAAACTATGTATATCCGTGAAAATTTTTGTCGGGTAAATTATTATCCTGAGAACCACGGAATCAAAGAAGCTGAAATTTCAGGGTAATGACCTCCCATCCAAGCTTGATCTTGCATATTCATAAATATTGATCAAGGATGATCGAAACATGCCCGTTCTAGGTGCTGGCTGAATCCGAAGGTCGTGCATGGTCAATTGAAACATCACCTGCGCAAAACTACGTCCCAAATGCACTGATGAATTCCTCCTCACATTTACTGGGTAGTGGTAGCAACAGTTCGACTAGCCTATCAGCATATTATGGTGGTAATGCAACTCAAATTGGAACCGATTCGTATAATTCGGAGTTTGGTGAAAGGTGATTTTTTTTTATGAAGAAATTTCATTTTGACTAAAAAATCGTAATTTTTTTTAAAAACTCCTAAACTAATGGTACTCAGCTATTTTCAAGTTTTTTTTTTTGGTATTTCCGATAATATTTTTCTCCTTATTTCTGACGGGAAAAAACAAAAATTTCTGTACGCTTTTATCAAAAAATGCATGATATCAAGTAGAAATTACAAATGCCTTGACC